CCCCCTGGCTAGGCTCTGGGAGAGTGCCCTGGCCTTGGGCACTCAGCGTCAATTTGCTGTGGCGACCTCAGCAGGATATAATGACACAGAGTCCACCATTTCTCCAGAGGAACTGATCTCTGCTACCTGAAGAGCAGTTGTAATTTTGAGTGATCTTCAGCCCTCACCTGCAGATTGGCAACAATTGTTACCCAGGAGGAAATGGCTGGTTTGGAGGGTGGAGTCTATGGCATTGTACCTGTCTGAGGTCCAACCCCTCCTCAAACCTCACCCTCTCCAGGTTCCATCCCTCAAATCTCCAGGAATTTCCCACCTGGAGTTGGCAACCCTATCTACTTCTCAGCCGCTCATCAACCTACCTTTATTTCTCCCTCACTGTTCAGCTTTTCATCTCTCTCTCCCCCTCTGTAGCCTCTACTGTGCTCTGAAGCCCTGACTGCCATGTCACATTGGCTGTCATGGGGGGGGTGGGGGCATCTCTGCAGGGTGACACAGAGTCCACCATTTTCTCCAGAGGAACTGATCTCTGCCATCTGGAGAGCAATTGTAATTCTGAGTTATCTCCAGCCCTCACCTGGAGATTGGCAACATTGGTTTCCTTGGCCAGGAGGGCGGGATAGAAATTTAAATAAATACATTTCCCAGGAGGAAAAGTAGTCTTTCTCTGTAATGGGGACCAAAGCAGCTTACATCATTCTCCTCTCCCCCTTTTGACTTGCACAACAATCCTGTGAGGTAGGTTAGGCTGAAAGTCTGTGACTGGTCCAAAATCAACCACTCATCTTCTACAGCCAGAACCTGGATCTTACAGACCCTGCTCTGAAGCACTAACTCCGACACAGGGTAGCCAACTTCCAGGTGGAGCCTGAAGATTGCCAGGTATCACAACTGAACTCCAGATAACAGATTTCTCCTGCCTGGAGAAAATAACTGCTTTGAAAGGTGGACTTTATGGCATTTTGTTCAGCTGAGGTCTCTCCCCTCCCCAAACCCTGGCTTCCATAGACTCTACCAGAAAATCGCCAGGAATCTCCCTACCTGGAACTGGCTACCCTAGTTCGGACTGGCCCCAATGAGTTCCTCACAAAGGCCTGCGAAGGGTTTCCTTCCTTTGTCTGAACCAAGCTTGGTTGCCTACTGTGGCGAAACGGGCTCCAGTTTACAACTCAGCTTTTCACCTTCCACCCTCGTCCTGTGGGTGTATCTCACTCCTTAAGTTCCCTGCCACCACTCACTGAATTGTCACTGCCTTTTTAGAGGGACAGTGAGACCCCTGTAGCCAAATCTTTCTATTTGGAGATGGAATCCCCAATCTTTGGGGGTTCCCTGGAAAGTTGGCAACCCAGGGGTCTGGCCTTTCCTTGCTTCCCATGGCTCCCTTTGGTATTGTGCAGTGTGGGGGAGACTATGGGGTCAGAGCACAACACAGATTATTGGCCCAAATAGAATAATTTATTTTACTATTTACACAATTATGGAGCACAAACACACACTAAATGAATAAGGCACAACTGTAGGAGTAAGCATATACTTACTAACCAACAGGGCATAAATACAATCCTCCCTGGATGGGCTGGAGTCTATATTGATGGTTCCCCACCCAGGCTCGTAGCTAGGACATTTTTAGTGGGGGGGCCCTGGGGAAAGTGGGGAGGGCATCACAACAAATAAGAAATCAAATAGAAATAAAATATGCTCAGCACTGAGATGCACAGTTTATACAAAACGAAACTGAAACAAGAGCTCCATCCAACAGGACCAAACCAAATCACACAGATATTAGGGGAAGAGAGCAGACAATTCCACTACATGTATACAATGAATATACCACAAGATCACAAGAGCAAGACCGTTTTTGGGGTGGGGGAGTGAGAGAGCAACAGAAAATACACTGACGGGCTGTTCTCTCCCCCCACCCCGCCCTCCTGCAGAGGCAGATGAGGAAGCCCCATTCAACCCAGTGAGTGATACTCCTGCAGGGCCCTCTCTGGAACTGGCTTTTGAGCAAGGGAAAC